GACATAGCAACGGTCATTTTTACCTATGCCCTGTGTTGTACCTAGCCAACCAATTGACTTAAGTAACAGAAAAATTATATAAAACTAACGATTTATAAAACACCCATATTTTGTAGAAAATTTTTACCCATACCTGACTACGCCGACCGGCATAGACTCCAACGGCCTGGACACAGCTCAAATTGAAAAAAACAAGTATTTTTTACAAATATTAAATAAGTACCGACATGCCGTAATTAACGCACAATCATCATGAAACCTAACCTAACCTAACCCAACCTAACCTAACCAACCCTCACTAGTATCTAGCCAGTGAACCTCGATCCCAACTTTTAACGAACGTGTCTTTATCGTGGGCATCTAATTATAAGAAAATATACAATGAGAAGATGAAGCAACGACTTCTTGTAAGGTGGCGGCTTCGCCGCCACCAGAAAATTTTAACCCATACCTGGCTACGCCGACCAGCATAGACTCCAACGGCCTGGATACAGCTCAAATTGAAAAATAGTATTTTTACAAATACCGACATGCCGTAATTAACGCACAATCATCATAAAATGAAATAAAAAGACGGATGTCTGTGATTACCAGAGATATTTTCACTTCGGGATCCAAATTCACCTGCTGGCCAGACGATATGTAATTTTTCGGCTACGGTTTATGGCCTGGAGCCATTTCCAAATAGCCACCTTCCATTAACCGAACTATTTCCTGACGTATGTTTTCTTACTCGATTTGGCAACACCGTATTTATAGAAACTAGAAACGTTAATTGTCATTGAAAATAATTTACTGTCTATTTGTTTTTCTAACAAACTAAAAATGAAAAATCAGAACATTTGATCGTTTATGAAAAAATTTGGTATGGTTCATTGCTCTATGAATGGTCTAATATTGATATTTAGCCGTTTCTATAACAAGAAATCAGTGAAAATGGTTTATGTCACATTTGTTTTATGATGGAGACCCGACAACAAATTTTAAGAATTTTAAGGTAACAAATTTTTTTATTGTCAGCGGACCCAAAATTGTTATGTATAGTGTGTTTCAAAGTGTCTAGAAACTTTCTTAAAAAATTCAATAGTTATATCCGCCGTTCGAGTGTCGGCGTATAATGACAAAAAAACTTCCTAAAAATTTTAATAATTTAGCAAAAAATGGGGATTTACGAGATGAGGAGAAAAGTCTATTTTTTTAAAAAAGAAACCTCCAAAATGCGAAAGCGCAAAATGTCAAAAATAATCAAATAAATATAGAGAAAACTTTAAATTTATCATAAGTACAATATAAATAACCTTTACAATACTTTGTGTTCGTCCTAGTATCATGGGCGCTGACTATCGAATGTTCATGTTACTAGGCGGCGACTGACTTGAGCTGTCGCGAGCATGTAATTACAAAATTCATGCTTACACCAAGGCCATTGCTCATTTCGATGTCGATTTGAAAATGAACGACTTGTATTGTAACAATGGGATTCGCGAAAAAAATCGGTACATTATAATATTTTGTTTTTGTTATAATTCAGTCACCGCTTTTTCATAATAACATTTGTTTTCAAGTCAGTCGTCGCCCTAAAATGGTTAAATTTTAGGAATTGTTTACTTTCTGAATGATTTAACTCAGCTCAATAGGTTTAATATATTTTTATTTTTCCCTTTATTTAAAATTAAGCTATAATAAATAAATTTGATTACATATTTTTTTTTGCTAAAACAGTCTTATACTACGATATTTTCCAAAACATCTTAACATCTTTCTTGTATGTTAGTGTTAAAAAAAAAATAATAATCACATTATTATAATGTTGTAATAATTATTATTTTACGTTTAGTAGAAATATTTATGAATTATGTACAATATGGATTAGTTTGAGTTTTTATTTTATGTATAAAAATACTGGGTGAGTCATAACTATTGGGGCAAAAGGTAAGCGCAGGTTATGTGGATATCGAAAAACATTTAAACACGCTGTATCTTTTTCCACAGAAACATTTTTTTAATGCACGTTTGGTTAAATGCTTATATTTTGGTTCAAATAACCTGCGCTTACTCTATGATCCCATAGTTATATGAACTCAGGATCTATTGCTTGCACCACTTTATTATTTTTTAAAGTTAGCCCTTCGCCGTACATACACTCTTTTATTTAAATTGCACGTTTTTGGTGCAATGAACTGGACTGGGGTAGAATGCCTGTCAATAGGATTTACATGCGACTCTATGTGCGCAGCCATTTTATTTTTCATCTCACTCAGAAGTAATTATATTAACCATTTTCCATTTTACTTTAAACAATCCAGCAGTGGAATTCTTATTTTTTAATACAGCATATGCCGAGACGTCTATCTTCGTTCGACAGACTGCGATTCTTATGTACTGTCTCTCTATTCAACACGTAACGTGTCGAGTTTGCACATAAGAATCCCTGTGCTGATCCACCAGATTGTGGATCAGACAATAACAATGTGAAACAGAAAATGGTTATTATAAATACTTGCGAGATACACAATAGTTAAAAATGGCTGCGCCCATAAAGTCTCACCTCTGTTAAACAAATGGTTGTTTATCTTAAAACTCGAATTCACAATGAAAACGTAGAGAGTTATTGCAAGTTTACTTAAGGTCGCCTACTATTAGCCCCACTCCTATTTTGACATCTGAGCATGCGCAGATCGTTTAAGTCCTAGAACTGACTGACAACATTCGTATCAGTTCGAAGTTTTCATAATTTTAAATATTTAATATCATAATCATCTAAATCTCCTACAAATGGCCATTTCCAATGCACCCTTGTGTACTATTATAGACATCAATGAAGATGAGCCTTAATTTAAAGTTTTTAAAATGAAGTTAGGAATGATTTGCAATAAGTTTTATTTTAAGCATGGAATTTATTTGCCTCTAATTACGTTGTCACAATTAGTGGCTAACGTTACAAAAATTTGCAATATCTCTCTATTGGTTAGGCTAGTAGACATTTCTTCACAAAAACGTCAATGACAATTGAGTATACTAACTTAATTAATTCACCAACTAAAATTACCAGGTCAGGTGAATCTACTAATACGATACCGATTTTTTCAAAACATCGATCTTTTAAATAAAAAAAATATATTTGTAGCTAAATTTGGTTTTCATCTTCAATATTTTTATATAATACAGACTGCCATATAATAGTTATTTGAAAAACCTAATATTAAACTAACCCATTTAAATATAATTTGTATAGTGATTTTAAATTTACAAAAAAACATTTTTCCCTTAGTAAAAATGAGAAGAAATTATTCAATAATTTTTTCCGTGGTGTAAGACACTATACAATACATATTAATAAATATTTCCACAAAAGGCTAAATTATGATTATTTAAAAAAAACAATAATACAAAAATCTTTTATCAAATGCCAAAACCTCTTTTGAAGCAATAAAAACATTTGTTTAGTGAGAAACAAAAATAATAATTTGAAACCAAGTGCATGTAAGAGATGATTTACTAAAAAATGTTTTAGTAAATTGGATTTTAATCGGCACTTTACTAGTTTTTAACTTTTTATCAAATAGGTAGAGTTCTTTATAGTTATTAAGATAGCTGTCACGCAATTTCTTACAACGTTTTTAAATAGGATTTACGTGTACATTTTTTTGATTTTTATTTCTTTCATTTTAGCTAGTAGTAAACAATGTAACAATACAAGGACAGGTTTATTAATACCATTGAGTAAAGGATTTTACTCAATGTTAATACGTGATCAACTTCTCGTTGTTTACTAGTTTTGAGTATGAGATCTGCAGTGGGATTCACATCTTTCAATTTGGCACGTGTTGAGAAGCTTCTATCTTCGTTCGACATAATGTGATTCTTATGTAATGTCTCTCTCTATTCAACACGTAACGTGTTGAGTTCGCACATAAGAATCCCTGTCCTGAAGTATTCCCAGGATATTTTTTTTGACAATCGACAGCTATGTTGACAAAAAATACCCTAAACCGATTTTAAGATAGGTATCTGTATTTTTTCAGTTTCTTCATTTCTAAATTAATAGTATAGAATTTCTAATAGATATTTGACAAATAAAAAAACTCCAAAAAAAGTATAAAAATGAACGAAAAAAGATCATCATGTATATTTCCTATATTACTACGATGTAATTCATTTTTAAAGTATTTTTATTAATATATAAAACAGCTTTTAAAAAATATTGATGAATAAAAAACCATTTGATTAGAAATATTTGAATCCGGATCTGTCTGATCTAGATAAGTGCAATCAATTATGAATACGAGCCATGTTTTTATAAAACTCTTTATTTGCCAAATATCGGAAATTTTATACATCTGGTCAAAGCCTCTTTACTTTCCAATCGTCTTAACTTTCTTTTGGGTCTTGGCCTTTATCTCCTACCTTTCAAATTCCATTAGTTTTCTTATCATCCCTTTTCATATTACATACTGGTTTTTCTTCAGATTAGATTCTTTTAATTTTTCTCCTATCAAGATTCATTACTTTCTTTATTATTTGTTTTAATTCTCTCTTTAAAGTTTTCTTTTAATTTTTAAAAACAGTAATGCTATTTTATTTTTATAAGGATAATTTCCTGACCGTAGCAGAATTTTATATATATAAAAATTACCTTGGTTTTATAGGTCAATGTTTTTATTTTTTATCGTTTAGCACAGCACTACATATGTTTCGGAAAATACAATTTTTCCATCTTCTGGTGTAGTCAATTTATAAAAATTATGGGGACGAATACAAACAGTTTAAATTTGTTTAAAAATAATGGTTTAAACTAAATTTTTATTTCGAATACACCTTCACACGAAGTGAAATAGAAAAATTCTATTATTTTTAAAATTTTTTAAATTATTTGTATTCGTCCCCATAAGCTTTATAAATTGACTGCACCAGAAGATGGAAAAATTGTATTTTCCGAAACATATGTAGTGATGTGCTAAACAATAAAAAATTAAAACATTGACCGATAAAACCAAGGAAAAAAAATATTTTTGTTTCTCTCTTTTTCTCTGTTATTAGTAACATTTAGCACCACTGCAATTTTGCGTCATTATATAAAATAATATCTAATTCGAGTATAAATACAGAAGTCTCGACATTACCTAATCTCGTATAATATAAAAAGGCTTCTTAAAATTATTTATAGTACCCAACTTAAATTATCATTAATTGCGTCATTCGTTTAGTGTCTATAGCAATTTAAGTTTCACTTGCACCATATGATAATTTTAATAAAGAAATATATTTAAAAACATTTTAAAAGCACATTATATCTTTGTATTAAAACCTAGTCAAGTATGTTCTTCGTTAGTATCACTTATTTTTTTATTAGGTAGGTACTATTTTGCGAAGTATTCTGTATTTATACCTGAAATTTAGCTTTTGAGCACAATACTTAGTATCAAACCTAGCGAGTAGTATATACAGATTATACAGTTTTAATAATATACAAAATTTATAAATAAAAACCCCAAAATATTAACCTAATTCGGATAAAACGGAATCCAGATCTTCCTGCAAACTAGCTGTCATTTCTTTTTGTTTATTTAAATCATCTTGCATTCTTTCTGCGTTAGTTTTTAACAGGAAGTTACCCTTCTTTAATGCATTTAATCTATTTTCGTGCCTCTTTGTTCTGGCTGTCAAATTCGTTTTCTTCTTATCATTAGGAGCTTCTTCATCTTCGCTTTGTGATTTTTCTGAATCAGTATCATTTTCACTTTCGGATTCCTCTTCTTCGCTGCTTTCTTCTTCTTCCTCGGATTCTTCCTCGTCTTCTTCCTTCAATACTTCTTCATCCTCTTCTTCTTCGTCAGGATCTTTCATTAGATTGGCCATCTTGTCAACCTGTCAAAAATAATAATTTAATGAGTTATAAAATTTGGATTCTCAAATAGTGATAATTCTTACTTCTTTCTTTAGTTGCTTGTATTTCTTCTTCTCTTCCTTCATTTCAGTATTGTGTTTCTTTATTATATCTCTCAGTGCCACTCTCTCTTTCTTAGCGTTATCTTCTTTAGTCTTCAGACTCTGCAATTTCTTTGTCAATTGCTTTACTTCTTTCACTAGCCGCTTTTCTCTCTTTTCTTCGGTGTCCTCACCATCGCTTTCCTCTTCTGGCTCTTCGTCTTCAACTTCATCGTCACTACCGTTACCTGCACCACTGTGTTTGCGGTCCGATATTGAAAATCTTTTTCCTGAAAGAATAAAAAAACTTAATATTATGGATTAACAAACTGCTCCTCACACACAAAACATGTCAGAGGTTTTTTTATACAAATACATTTTTTGTTGGGAAACAAATTGGATAAGGAATATGGAATAAATATTTTACAATATAAGTTTTAAGAAAATAGTATTTGAGAAAAATCCAATAAACAGAGGTTTTGACGTGTGTATGTTTGTTCTAAACTGAGCGATTGATATAAATGATGGTTCTGAAACATTTAAATGGAGTTTTCCTGTTTGATCTAATTATAATAGATATTTACGATATAAGTGCGGTATGAACATTATTAATACATGCATGTGAAAATCACATAAGTATATTAATAATGTGGTACCGGCACGAATATTGTACAATATTTTATCTACAACTATTTTATGTACAACTGTACAAACTCCGAAAATTCGAAATTAAATTAAATAAAATTATGTCGGCATATCGTTAAAATTAACTATTTGCGAATACAAATAATCTGTCAGTATTTTGTAACCATAGCAACGGAATTAATAATCAACTTCTGTTAAAGTGGCGTTTAAAATCGTAAAAATTATGGGGTGGGATTCCGTTTCACGATTCGACTCGAATTTGATATCAAACTACATAAAAGCAATTCCGTTTAACGAGTAGTCGATTCGATATCAACTCGTTAAAGTTGGAATATTCTGACATTAGGTATGACCTGTCAATGAAGTTAAATAATACGCCTGTGGCTTAAAATTTAAGGAAAGAAAGGAATTTAGTTTCCAGGACATACCTATGTCTCTGGTAATGCCTTTTCTGGATAACCTATCGTGCAACAGAGGTCTTTTATATCCTTGAAATATCAATAAAAGGATTAGTTGTTATACAAAACGATACAAAATATAAACATTTATAGGTTCTCTTTATTCAGCTGAAAAAGTTCTCCACGACGATTTTCTGGAAGTTCAAAAGGATTGTTTCTTTTTTGTAACTCATCCTTTCTTTAGTCTAATAATAATAAATAATAATATTTTTATAATTTAACCCATTATGAGTGATCCTTGCAACTATGAATGCAGAGTTGTTTGTACCCGGTGAGGGATGACTATTTTTATTTGCCATGGCTCTCCGAGGCAACTTACAGATGTCATTTACCTACCCATAAGCATAAAAACTAATAAATAATTACAATTTAATTTTTGTTGTTTGACGTTAAAAGTCGTGACATTCTGTTCTGTGTCGAGTAACTCGACACATAATTCGATCGAATATTCGATAATGTATTGGAATAGATACGCCTTGTTTACATAAACAATTGTCGTATGATAATAAGGTCCACAATCGCATGCACAACAAACGGTGGTACCAGCAGAGGTTGCCACAGTGTCTCTTTCGGTTAAACGTATAAGGATAATTATTATTAGTTCCCAATGTTTTAAGGTTCGAATTACTTAATATGGAGCTTAATATTTAATAGTTCATTTAAGAATCTGGATCATATTCATAAAATTTCTCATTTAATTTTCTTCTGCATTGAATCGGTGTTTAAATTAGATGTTTTTAGATTTTGTTCACTACGATCCATCGGTTTAACCATTAAATACTATATTTTAACTGGACATTTGGCAACCCTGTTTCTGTATGTTTTTAAAAGTGTCATTCGGTGTTTTATTTTAGTGAAATATTCTTGTTTTATTTATTTATATGAAAGAAATTATTTACAAACGTGATTATACATTTCAAAATAGTAAAGAGATGCATAGTTTTCCGAACATTTTGGACCAAAAACACCCAAAATCAATGCTTGCTATTTCACAGGTAGGTTATGTCAAAATCAATCTCATGAAATGTAAATAATGTAGATATCCATGGGCGTAACAACTGTGCTAGGGTTTTTTTTTATTTCTTGATATAAAAATACCTAATTGTAGAAACTGGCTATTTTATGGTATATACGTTTACATGTTTTCGAGAGACATTGTCTAATGTCATTGTGGCTGAACAACTTGAAAATAAATGAGCAAGATCTCAAAACTGAAAGATGCCAAAGTTTGTTCAGATCACTTTTCACATGAAGATTTATTTAGCTATAATAAAATCGAACATTTTATTTGAAATCCAATGTTTTGCTAATAGAGTAAGTAAACAATGTGTCTTTATATACATACTTTCGTATTGATATAGGTAAAAGGTAATGTATAAGTATTTATTGCAAACGTCTACTTACACCTAGTTAAACAATTCGTTTCTGAAACTAAGTGTTATTGAGGTCTAAAATACAGTGAAAAATAGCTTAGAACTGTTGTCTCCCAGTTGTAGTTTAATAAACACAAAGTAAACTTTTTTGATTATACTAAACCCATTATTGAAAACTTATAATTTTTTTAGTACGTACTTCGTTGAGAGAAGTAGTATAGAAAATGTATATGTGGGAACGCATGATGATTATATTCGCTCAGTGCGAAGTTATGGTAGGGGAAGCAAAAGCGATACTAGCGCAAGCTGCAGATAATTCGACCACTTTAAAACGATATTTTGTAATTTTGGCGTATCAAATACACGTATACATTTTACTTTTTTTGCAAAAAAGAAGTAAGAACAATGTAATAAGCAACCGTAGTTGGTGTGTACTAGAAGTATAATCTCCCAAGGTATTTATTTATTTATTTTTATCTTCTAAAAAGTAAGTTTTCACTTCTTTTACAAAATTAAATTATTTTTAAATTCTAAGATATTTTCTAATTTATTCTTTTTTTTTTTATTTATTCGGGTTCTGTGAATTAGAAAAGGAAACATCAATCCACGTCCTGCACCAATGTGAAAGCCTAACTAGATTGAGATTTCTTATACTAGATGAAGAAAAGCCAGACACATGTAACTACATGCATGTGGATGCCACTGTCAAGGAAAATAAGTCTAATAAAAAAGTCCAACCTTAGATGACATACTCTAAAACAAACGGTGTCCCACAATAGATCTGAAAAGGTCGCGGTGGACACGGACACATAGTGTCAAACTCCTTTTAAATCTAATATCTTAGCTACCCTTATTTTTGACAGAAGCGTCGTGACATGCCACTCATATTTTGGTAAGCCTTTTTTGTACAATTCGCTATCGCATCATAATTTTTACGTAAAAGTCTTCAAGTATTCTAAGAAATTCATGTATTCGTTTAATTGGGCATTTAGAAGCAAATTGATATGAAAATATTGTTTATTATTCGCACTTATAAGGAGCCTGTATAATAATTGCAAATGGTTACAACGTTGCCAACTGTCAGTTAAAATGTTGAATATTGCATAAAACCATGGAAGTGACTCTTCTTTCGAAATATTAAGATACAATTTCAAGACAAAATAATGAAAACGATAAACCCCCTTGGATTATGGAGGAACATAATAATGATCCTATATGCGCAGGGTACTGCCTAAATATAACCAATGGGTTTTGAATTGTAAACAATTTTTCTGCAGGTAAATATACTAAATACTTATGGTATCTAATAATGACCAATTTAAAATGAGTTGTTTACATGTAGTAATTAATAAGGTAGTTCACGCGCGACAGTCGTACACAAAAATATCGCCAATAGTTTGAGATTCTCAAAGCTGAAAAATGTTATTTTTATAGGATACTGAACACAACACATGTAAGCTTATGTACGGATACGTTATTATTTCAAGTAAAATCCATCCGGCATTGTCACAAATGTAGGAATGGTGCGATATCAAGTGTATACCTATAGAAATTTTGTGACTTCCTCATACTAATTTTAAGGTTTTGTTTTGGTTTAAACAGAAGCGTCGATTCCAGTTCTCAAATACAGTAGACAAATTAATTTTTCAAGAACACTTCACGAGGTTATAACAACCTCTTAGCTAATCGAGTGTAATTCAGTGATTCTGAAATAACAATGTTGCCAAATTGTAATCATTGCCCCACTACGCGTCGACTGCTTTAAACATATTTTTCTTTTAAAATCTATCTTTTTACCAAAACGGTCAAAAAATTCAACGTTTTTTAGAAAATTGTATAACTTTGTGATTTACATTACATTAGTTTTTAAAAAATATAGTAAGAACCATTTTCGAAATATCTTGAAATAAATGCATTGCTTATGTACATGACAGGCTTCAAAACTGTTAATTATGCACAATTTCATTGTTAATATCTCGTTTCACAGACGGTCAAAAAATTTTTTTTTACTTAGGTACGTAAAAGACATTTTCTTTAACCTTATATTTTAATTTTATTGAATTCTTAAGAAAAGCCGTCTTGCGCATGAACTACTTTAAATATTATTTTAAAAAAATGAAAATAAATCTTGAAGCTTATTTTTAATTATATATAATATGTACCAATTTATTGTAGGTTTTTACTTGCATTTAAATTTTTAAAAAATAGCCATCTATCCAAATAAAACCATTTTAAATAAGGGATTCTTATTATAGGTATTTAAAAATATCAGAAAATGTCAATCGACGCTACCCATTTTAAATTAGTCACACCACTTCATGCATTGTCAGAATTGTTAAAATAAAGAACAAACACAATGTCATTATTTCTTCTGTTCCCTCTAACTTGTGTACGGCAAAATTTTGCTACAGTACTTTGTAAATAATAAAGTTCATTAATCTCCGTAATTAGGGAGAGTATTATTATTATTATTATTATTATTATTATTATTATTTGTGTATAACTATTTTTTGTTGATAAATAAAATGCTTTAATTGGTCTTTACTTTATTTCATAAAGGAAGGTATGTACTCAGAAATATGTATAATATTCTTGCTTCACTTATAAAACGGGTTCTTCACAATATTTTTCTACTTTCTTTTCTCCTTCATCAGTCAAGCTTTATAGTAGGTATATTTACTCAAAATGTATACAAATTGTTTAAAGTACAAAATTAATAATCCTATAAAATTGAGTAAATAATATACAATATGACAAGCCTGTGCATGGTCTATATAGTATCACAATACTGTGAAAAACTGTTATTACATTGAA